ACAGCAGCCCTGCGCCCCCACAGCAGCCCTGCCCTGCGCCCCCACAGCAGCCCTGCACCCCGACAGCAGCCCTGCGCCCCCACAGCAGCCCTGCCCTGCGCCCCCACAGCAGCCCTGCACCCCGACAGCAGCCCTGCCCTGCGCCCCCACAGCGCGGGGCCCAGAACCGCAGGCGCGGGAGGGGCGGAGTCGGAGCCCCCGGGCTCAGGTCCTGCCTCTCGCTCCCTGTCTGGACTGCCTCGTTTAAGAGCCATGTCATTTTCTCAAAATTGTAAAACGGCGATAATTATATCACAGGGTTCTCCCGGGGATTAAGTTAAAGCACTGAGATGTTTTGTTTTTTCATTTATCTTTATTGCTGAAAGTATTACAGATGTCCCCCTTTTCCCTCATTAATCCCCTCCACCCAGCATCCGCCCGGTCCCCACGCCCTCCCTCGGACTGGGCCCGGGACAACCAGTGCGGCGCCTGACGACGGCCCGGGAAGAGGTCAAGGGAAGAGGTCCAGGCCACCCTCCCGCCCCGGGCCCCGCCGCGGTGTTTGGTTCCCTTTTTTCCATCCAGGACGGAGCCAGGGGCGTGGCTAGGGGCGGGGCTAAGGGCCCGGAAGTGATGGCTGGGGCGGAGCCAGACAGGGCAGGGAGGAGGGGCGGGGCCTCGCTCGGAACGGAAGCTCCCGACCGCAGGCCTTTCCGGCGCTTGATGCCAACTACAACTCCCACAACACCCCGCGGTCGCGCGCCTGGCATCTGTGGTCGCGAGACGTCGTCGCTGGGGCGTCTGCGCGGATAAACGGAAGTGTTGGTGACGGTCTGAGATATCACCGCCAAGCTGGGAACCGGGGAGATGGCCGAGACTGACCCCAAGACCGTGCAGGATCTCACCTCGGTGGTAAGGGACGTGTGGGGGGGGGGCCCGAGGCCGCGACCTCCCGGGGCGGCGCCCGCAAGGCCCGCGGACCCAGGCGTCTTTTCTGCGGCTCGCCCGCCCCGCTCTCTGGAGGCGGTGTTTGTAGAGGCTTCGCTCGCCGAGGCTTCTGGCCACCTTGGTCCCCCCGGCCGCTGGGTGTGGTCCCCTGCGCCTGCTGACGTCTCCAGGCCTCTTCCCTCCACTCACCTGTCCGTGAGCCGCACCCTCTCGTGACGCCCTGGCCCCCCCGGCGTCAGCCCCACACCCCCAGCTCTCCACGCAGCGCACCCTTCGCCACCTCCCTACATCCCGAGGCCTCCCAGCCGTCAAAACTGCCGGAAGACCCGACAGATTTTGAATGGCAGCGCCCCGGGGCCCAAACGGGGAGGGGCTTCACCGGCCCCACCGTCTGATTTGACGGACGGTGAAAGGGAAACCCGGAGAGGGAATCCTTGCCGGAGGCCGCGGAGCTGCCTCGAGGTTGGGTTGGGGCTGGAACCCAGGATCCTAGTCCCCCCCTGGGACCAGGGCTCCTGTCCTCTTCCCGTGAAGGTGTCTCAGGGTGGGCGTGGGGTGGTTTGTTTCGCTGTTTCGTAGGTGCAGACACTCCTGCAACAGATGCAAGATAAATTTCAGACCATGTCCGACCAGATCATTGGAAGAAATATCCTTGATATTTGTAGTCAGCCTCTTACGGGTGTTTGGAGCCTGTTTTCTCAGTATTGGTGTCAATAAGTGGGTGGCGTTCAGGCCAACTTCAGCCAGTCATTTACCCAATTTTTTCCTGAGCTCGAATGTGGTCTTCTTGGGAAGTACTGTGTGAAGAGCTGGGCATACAACTGAGCCGGATGCTGGGCCTCAAGGAACTTACAGTCTGCTATTGTAATGACTGTTGACTGTGAGCTAAACATTTTATGTGTGTCTTTCCTCTGATCTTCACCATAACCTGATGAAGAGATTATAGTATTACCTTTATTTATCGGATGAAAAAAAATAGAAGCCTAGAAAAGTAAAACAACGTGCCCAGATCCCATAACTAGTAAAGGGCAGGGCTGGCATTTGTTCCTTCCCCCAGGTCCCTGTACTCTTAACCAAAAGATTAGTCACGCCCTGCTTAACAACAGGGATACACTCTGAGAAATGTGGTGTTAGGTGATTTCATCCTCGCGCAAACACTAGAGGGTACTTACAGAAACCTAGGTGGTGTGGCTTACTACACACCTTGGCCATATGGTATGCCACCCTCAAGTATTTGTCCCATCATTGATGGAAATGTCATTATGCGACACGTGACTGTGTAACTCTCCAAAGGAAATTGGAAAACCAGTTTCATTAAGACAGTTGTGTTTAAGGCCATAGTCCACAGGGCCCTGGAGGACAAGGCTAGAAATGGGAGATGTTGGTGCACTTTGTCTTTAACTTTACCACTTGATGACATGAGTAGTCGCATTGATGACCTGGAGAAAAACATTGCAGACCTCATGACACAGGCTGGCGTGGAAGAACTGGAAGGTGAAAACAAGATACCTGCTACACAAAAGAGTTGAAGGTGAGGGAAGGGGCAGTGTAAGTATGGTGTATGTCAGTATAATTTTGATGGAGTCACTTTCCCAGTTTTTATTCATTAGACCTATGTCCTCATTAATTAAGACCATTGATTAACATTAGATAACCACTGAGTTTATATCATTAGAGCCAAAAACAAAGAAATGTGTTTTGTTGAAAATTCTTATCACTGGCAGATTTTTAATGTGTTTTGTTTTGTTTTGTTTCAAAAAAGATAATTCAAGTACCCACATTGTCACCTTCATAAATGCCTTAAATTCTGAGGATTCTTTTGGGAACACTTATTGCACTCAGTAAATGCCAGGACAATACCTGCTTATGGCTTAGATGACCTAGATTATAGCTACATTAAGCCTTCACCCTGGAGTTGATTTGAATTTCCACTTCCATAGTTTCAGGTATCAGAGGAATGACTGAGTGAGTGTGGTGGTTACCTCTTTGCAACCCAAAAATAATTTTAAACTCCCTTTTCTCCCATCCCATTTTTAGCATTTTAATTCCCTATAATAATAAAGTTCACTGAAAATTTTTGGGTAACTAGAGTACCAAGCAGAGTATAGAGTAAGAGACACCATATTCCTTTTTTTTTTTTTTACTTCCTGGGCGTGTCCTGGCTGGCCCAAATTATAAGTTTCTATGAAATACAAGTTGCTTTGAAGTACAAGAAAAATAGATTGGGTTGATTGTCTGTGTGAGTAAGTCACAGAATTGTTTTGTGTGGGTTGTCATCTTTATTCCTCTATAGAGATAATTTGGAAAATGTCCTGTGAGACTTAGAAGCTTCTCATATCTCAAAAGCCCCATCAAGCGAATGAGTGCATCCTCTTGAGGACTGAAGACTTGAGTTACAGGGATGATACAAAGAAAGGGGTGGGGGGCAGAAATGGATTCGGAGGTTTCCTTAATAAAGATGTCCAATTAAATGTATTTCTGCTAGAGTATCATGCACAGAAAAGAAGTTTAGCTCAGTAGAGGGTTCTCAAAGGATTTTTAGTTGATAATTCTAAGTATCATTTTCATTTGTCCTTATATAATAAATAACATCTTGATGGTTTTTCATTTCTCAATAGGTTGCTAATTAACACTGGAATCTGGAACATTTTTACAAGCCAAGAGAAGACCAAATGGCTTTTTGCAACTAATGACTATGTGTAGACAGGTTTTATGTTGTAAAGCGTGCATTCTTCGTATCACATACTATATAGTTAGGTGACAGAGTGATCTCCCCCGCAACCCCCCAGTTTCTTGAACATGGTAACTTCACATCTCCAATCTTGGTCAGTTGTGCTATTAAATATTAAACACTAAAACTTTGGCAGTTCCTGCATAAAATTGTCAAATTTTTTAGTGTATTTTTGTGAAGTCGTTTTTTTCCTATCATCGCTTTTGTAGTAGTTGCTGTTTGATAAAAGTTGCTGTGTAATTTTTTTCTATTAGACATAGTAGGTTATTCCTTTATAATTAGACTTTGTAAAGTAAGACATTTATAGAGTTTAGGGTTCCTTAATTCTCAACAGAGTGACTGATGAGCCAACACCAAATACTGTGTTGGTGATACTTTTCAAATGGTTCAAACCATTTAAAAATTGTTTATTCAGAAATACCTGGTACTACTCTGTTGCCAAAACTCAGACTTGAACTGTGATCTTGTCTAAGTCTTTGAGGTCAGATGCTAAACTAATGAATAGTAACCACTGCCACTTTAGTGTGAGAATTTTTACATGTAGAAAACGACAGAATTGCCTAATGTAAGGAGGCACGCGATAGTTAAGAATTTTGCATGAGATTTGAATACTTCTGTAGGACCCTGTGTTGTTCATCTACAAGTTACCGTAAAAAATCTGGCAGGATTTTAAAACTCAGCTATTCCATCTTTTATTTGAGTTACTGATTGGAAAAAGGAACAGAGAAGGAAAAGAGACCATATTAAGTCCATGCCAGTTGCTTCACTAGAAAATAATAAAAGATACAGTAGGCTCAAGTTTTTAAGAAATACTGCTTCTTTACACTATTTCTAACTGAATTCCTGTTGAGTAATGGTTTTATTACTCATTATAGAAGACAGAGATAACTCTTGCCACCCAAAAATGTAGTGTCGGGAATGCTAATCCTAGAGGCCAGTATTGACTGAAGGAGATCCGTGATTGTCACAGCAAAGTGATTTTGTATAGAAAAAAAGTGAAAAGGTTGAGGGATGGTATAGTGCCTCAAAGGAAAACCCTTGATGAACACAATATGATTTTTTTTAAGTTTTCTCTATCACCAGTCTTGGTTGATTGTATTGCAAATATATAATAATATTAAGAAATAATTTTTCCTATTTATAAATTATATAGAGAACACAAAGGAGTAAGTTTCTTCTGTGATAAAATGAATTAACCCCTGTTAATTACCCAGCTGCAGAAACTCCTTTGATGGGCCAGTAGGTTGTTTCGCAAGGTTTAGCCCTGAAAGCCTGAGCTTGCTGCACTCCAGCCAACCAGATGGAACCTGTGTGCGGTGTTTTCAAGCCAAGTAGATGGCAGCTGGAAATGGTGTGGTGGGAAGGTTAGTCAGGTCTTAGGTAGGAGTTGGCTTCCTTGAGTAATGGAAAGATTTCTGAGGCAAGCTCCCCTGGCCAAAAGTGTCTGCCCTGAATAAAGGTGCCTGAAATCCTGCTATCAAGCTTCCTTTGTGTCGAAATGATTTGTTTAGTTTCTCTCACTTTCAGATGCAAATGAATGTACTACTTTAGATTATGAGCTAAAACCTCTGGAAGGATTAAGTACAAATAACCAAAGGCAAAATGGGACTGGGAGGTGCGTGTGGAGATTGTGTTGCAAGAGCCTTGGTGACTGTCAGGTTTGCTTGATGGATGTGGGAGAGTTGATGTTACACCATGTTCAGACAGAAACCTTTTCCAAATCTGTTCCCCAGGATACTTGTCCTGGAGAAATTCTAGAAAATAAGGGTTTATAGTCACCTGGGTTTAGAAAATTTGCCTTGTACTGGATTGACTTCATGAAAAATCAGTGTAAATTAGCATATTGAAGGCTCTGAGGTCCCAGAGCAGAAAAATGTGATTTTACTTTCTCACCTGCCAGTTTCCAACTTACTTGATGAAGGATCCTTTTTACACTTACCACCTAATTAACATTTCATTGAACTAGTGTGGTGTAAAATACTGTGTACATAGGGAGATACCATTTAAAGTGATCCCATAAATAGCAATAGGTTTTTGTTTGTAAATGACCACCTGCAGTGCCACAGACTCCACCCTTTCTCCAGGCAAAGGGTTTGTGGCCCTAGACAGGCCTTCCCATTTGTACAGATGGATGGTTTCCCTCGACTGTTAAGACAGTACCTGTGGGAAGTGAGAAATGCCAATGCCAGCTACGTTACCATTACCCCCACTGCCTCCTGCCAGACAGCCTTTCTGGAACAGCCTGGGTCTGCCGGAGAAACAACTCCCTCCCGGGGCTGCATACAGCCGCCTTGTCCCGCAGCTTCTGCTTGGTGACACCCGCCCCAGGAAGGGCTTCCAGCCCTGGCCAGTGTACAGGTCAGCACTGCCCCTCTCGAGTTCCAGGTTTGATCTTTTTGTGCAGGAAAGTGCCCCTCTCATTCTCCCAACTAGTTTTTGTTCATTTAAAGGTCCGAGAATATCCTAGTTAGGGCTAATAAATCCAACAAGTGTGGAGGTGCTTATACCAAGCAGAGCAGCCATGTACTTGATTAAATAAATGCCCTCACCTCCCAGGCCCAGAGGCCCCTCCAGCTTCCTCCTTTGACTTCTAGCTAATCCTGCTTTCCTTCAAGCCACAGGATCTTAAATATTTTAATCTTATTTGCTGATCAATTTTTTTTCCCTACTGTTTCATTTCTAGTAAAGCACTATTGTGTTTGACCTTATCAGAACAAACATACAGGATTTCAGGTAATTAAAGGTTAATTTGCCTTTGTGCGTCCTTGGAACCGTAACCGCACAGAGCATTGTTGCTATGGGGACATAGAGTCCTCCAAACAATCAATTCAAAGTGAACTTTTTTAACATCCTGTTTGTAAATTGAAGATTTCCTGAATAGATAATTATGTTCCTCTCTTCTTTTTTGTATTCTATAATTTATGTTTTCATTGGATTAAAAAGGCATCATTTGCACAGTACGTTGTCACAGCTAACCCTGAAAGTTACCTAGCAACAGCTAATGATTAGCCTTAGCACTGTGGAAAGCATTTATTATTCCTGTGCTGTTCCAAGCATTTTGTTTACATTATTTGGCCTAATCCTCCTGACAACCCTGAGTTGGGCTTGGGTCTGATCCGTCCCAGTTTAAACAGAAGGAACCCAGTGTTGGGCTTCAGTTGACCAGGTCACAGAGCTAGAAGCAGCGGCGACTGCAGAGCTCGCTCTCGGCTGCTTGGCCCAGCTCCACGAGAGCTAGTATTTCCAGTACGCCAGGGCTGCCTGGGAATCACCAGCCCGCTACCTCGGGGGCTACTGAAATTCAGGTTCAAAAGTGCTTTTGCATTTTCAACTAAACCTAACCGAAAATAATAGACATCTTGTTGTGAATTTTTATTCAGAATTGAAACTTCGGGGCTGCTAGAAAATACATGCCCCTAGACTAGCGTCTTTTTCCCCCCCAAAATAAATTATTTGAGAACAACTGTAGAAACAAATCCAGTTCCATTTCTCGAATGTTGGCCCTGACAGAACAGCAGTGAGTACTGGTTTTCACATTCATGTAACATCCCATCATTTCTCACAAAAATTGTCCCTTGAGACCCACCTTGGGGGGAAAAATAATGCCCCCTCCCCACTGACCTATTTGCTTACCATCTTATAAGGTCACTTTAAAAAAAGAGAGACAGTGAGTACAGAAGTCTTAAAACCGTGCCCATGCAGCCACCACCCGGAATCCTAGTCTCCCGTTCATGACGTTAAGCATCTGCTTTTAGCATCAGTCTCTAAAACTCCTTTTCAGTGGATGAAAATGAGGGAGGGTAGGAGTCACTGCCCCAAATCGAACACCAGAGGGATTGTGACTGAACATTACACTCATCGACCCCACAAACCACTTGGGAAATAGGGAAGGAGTTTGTTTCTACAAGTCAGGTTGACTGTGGAGAAAGAATCAATTCTGATGCTTTGCCCTCACGCTGAGCCTTTCACCAAGAGAGGTGCCTGGAGGTTCCTCAGACACCTGCCTAGGATTAGGTTTATATCTAATAGACGTGGAGCATCTGCTTCCATGCGTTCCTGGCCACCACTGGTGAAATGTAATGTTTGTTGCTCTCTCCTGGAGCAAGGCTTAAGAATGTTTATATGCCACATGCATAAATTACATGCATGTCACATAGATGCTACCCTGCTTCGTGGTCCTAATCTTGGCGGTATAGTAATAGATTTGTACTGGGTGGACACATTTTGACCAATTGCTCAGATTGGTTAGTGGCAAAATGTCTACCTTTCAAAGAGGAACAGAATTAAGTCCCAATAATTAAGAACAGCCCAGATTCAGGGTCAAGCTGTTAGGAAGCATTTAGCTGCAAATAACCAAAAGCACGGCCCGTGAGCAACAGGGAGCTGTATTGTGTCACAAGGTAGGAGCCCCGAGGGCAGGCAGCTCTGGGGAAAGTGGATGCCACACCTCCACCAGATGGCAAGGACCCAGGTTTGTGCCACCTTGATGCATCCCACAGAAGGAGAACGCCTTTCCCCTTCCCTTTGTCTCAAAGAATGAAGAAAATGTTTCCCCAAATGTGTTCCTACCTGCTGGCTGGGCCTCAAACAATCCTCAGCAAGGCCCAGCCTCGCATGGACAGCCTGAGCCCTGAGATTCTCACCTTTCGATTGTCACCACTTGGGGGTTGGGGAGCTTCTGACATCTGATGGGTGAGACCAAGGATGCTGCTAGCTCCCAATGTCAACAGGGCCCAGGCGGAGAAACCCCAACTCAACCCATTCTTGAGTCAACCTGTGCCTGGGACAGGCCTCCAATAGCTCCTGGACCCTCAGAGGAGGGCAGATAAAGAACAAAACCAGGAATCTATCAGAAAGGAAAGGGGTGGCTACTGGGTGGACCCCTACAGTGTCCATCACGGACCTCTCAGATATAGCCTCTGGATTACGAATTGTAACGGTGGAGATGGTTAAGTAAGGAATTAGCTGATCCTCAGCCTTGGCTGCACATCAGAGTCGCCTAGGAAGCATTTCAAAGCCTCGGGCCAGGCAGCACCCAGACCCACTGCATCAGGTCCCCGCAGGTGGGCCCAGACAGGGTGGTTTTAAGCTTGCAGGTGCACCAAGACTGGGAACCACATTCTACAAGGACTGTCTACGGCTGCCCATCGGTGACATAATTTGCCAAGCAAATTACATGGGGTTCTGCCAACCTCTGTCAACCCAGCTGACACTCCGGACTCACACAGTCGAAACAGACACACCTTATCTGGCATTCAGTTCAATTCACGTGTCATTTCTGCTTTAGCGACGGGATGATGCCAGCACTGTTCCAATAAAAGGATGTCTGATTCCCTGACAGGTGATGTCTTGTTTCCCAGATCCAATGTCAGGCTTACCTCACGCTTCTGATCACCTGCCCCGCCGTGGTGGGAGCTACCTTCACCTGCCTCATCCCCTTAACTCCCCAGAGCCCTGGAAGACGGTGGACATCAGAAAGTTTTCCAGCTGGAATTCTCCCTCTACTGAGCCTCCAAAGACTCCATTCCTAAGCTATTTCCCTCTTCCCTTCTGTAGGTCTTTAGAAGGTGCCGTCCAAACCCAGAGAGCATCTCCAGAAAGAAACTTCATTAAATACTCAAAACTCAAGGCCTGTTGTTAGGAAGAAAGCGCTGTTAGCTTGGATGGGCTGCGGATAATCATCAGAAATGGAAATTATCCATTTCCAGGAATTTAAATAATACCCTTGTTTTTTTTCATGACACATTCTCCTTGGAATACGGGAAGACCATTGGACTGATTCTGCTCCAAAATCCTACTGCAGCAAAAGATGAGCCCAAATTATTTGTGGAACAGCAGCCTGGGACTGGCCTGGTACACAGATCGCAAAGCTGGACAGGCTGCATCGCAGTGTCCTCAAAAGAAACCAGGCCCTCCCTTGAAGGGCAGGCGTCTCTGATGTGAGCCAAACTCAGGTGCCCCTCAGTTAGAGCCCGTGTTCACTGGGCCCAGAAGGAATCTTACCGATTCTGTGGAAACCGGCTGTCAAATGTATGTCGTCTCGCTAGCAGAATTTTTAAAAGCAGGTCGGCCTCGGGGCCTGGGAGCCCTCATCGCTGTGGCCAGACCTTCTCCCCGAACCCTTAGCCCGAGGGGTTGATCGTATGAAACATACATTGTGCACCAGCAGCTTCCAAAGGAAATGCCGTGAGACTCCTTTAGAGGGTCCATCTCCTTTTCTCAAGCACAGACGGGGCTTCGCAGTGACCCGTGCCCCAACTTCGCCTGCCCCATAACGAGAGCAGGCCCCGTGGGACCCCGCAGGCACAGCCACGCCGGGACTTCTGCAACCCCTGACTCGGAAAGTTCACCCCGCCGTGAACTCCGCCAGAAGTTCCTCGGGTTTATCCAGTTCATCTGTATTCCAGAACGATTCTGAGCAAGATTTGCTAGTACTGCTTTAACAAGTTACTGCTTGGCAAGTCAAAACTTCAA